AAGATATCCTTTTTTTTTTTTTTTTTAGAGGAGAAAAAGTTTATTTGGGGCTCATAGTTTCTCCTGTCTCAGTCCATGGCTGGACAACTCCATTGTTCAGGGCCTGAGATGAACAGAACTTCATGGCAGAAGAGCTTGGTAAAGGAAGGCTATTCAGCTTATGGCATCCAGGAAGAAGCCAGGGACAAATATACTCCAAGGTCATATTCCCAGTGACCTACTTCTTCCAGCCACACCTACAATTACAAACCTGTAGTCCATTCAGCTATCAGTGGATTAATTCAGCAAATGGATTAATCCACTGATTATGTAAAAACCCTAATCATGATCTAAAATCCTTCCTCTGAACCTTGTTATATTGAGGATCATACTTACAAAGCATGAGGTTTTTATTTGGGGGCAGGGGTACTCTTAGATTGAAACTATAATATCCTTTTAAAGATTTTTTTATTTGAATTTTTACATTATGAATATTATAAAAGCAAAAAGTAGTTTTACAGAAAGGAAAATAATAAGAAAGTTTTATAAAAGAAAATAACAATTCAAATGTAAAACTCTTAATATGGTTGGGTATTGCCCCTGATGCTATTGTTTACATGAAAGTCTCAACTTTAATCGTATCACTGTTGAAGACACTGAAATGATTTATAGGGAAGTTCTGTACTTCAAGTTCCAGGCTTAAATTAGCATTGCTTTCTCTCTTCTTGTTCTTTGCCCTCTTGATGACCTTGAAGAGAGGTAAAGAAGACACAGTGAGATCCCAGCCATCGAGGAAAAGCCCTGCATTTCTGTGGCCCGTCAGTGTCTGTTCATCTCATGGGCCACACCAGTCCCTTCCCTTCTCTCAAAGGCTGTTGATTTTTGCTCACTTTTCTTCTTTATGGTATTATTCAATATTAAGTGAGTCCTTTCCCGTCATCTGGAGCCTCATGACCATCGTGGGTGTATTTGAACAGGACAGGAGTTCCTCAAAAGTGGTGAAGGGGAACTATAAGTAAAGAGGAAGAGCTACTTTAATCAGCGTGCAGCACTGATTGGATCAGAAAAGGGGAAGGAGGCGACCTAAAGAATTGTTTCCTCGGTGCTCTCCTCTGATTAGCAGGTAGAGGTAGAATACATGGGTTCTTGCATTAAGGCATGTCTCTGTGTCACAATCCATTAATATTTCTACTTGGACTGTTTATATGTGAGTTTAGCTCTCATTAGTTTTATCAAGAATCTCCTGGTGGACCCTTGTGTGGGTTGGTATGTGGGAATGTGTTTGTTTGGGTCTGAGACAGAGAACATGATACCATGTGGAATCAACCAGCTATTTTGCTATGGGCCGGGACACGCATTTCCCTAAAAGATGGCACCTTTTGCTTTAAGATGAAGTTATTCCAAATCCCTGGGGATCCCTTGGTCATCTGTGTCTGGCATGAGCTATGTTGACCTTCTTCCTCTTTCAACTTGTTTTTATTGCCTATTTTTCTATTTTCCATTTCACCTTTGACCTCCCTGTTTGCATTTGTTCACTCTCATTGGTAGTATCCTTTATCTCCAGCCACTCCTGTCTTTCTTATGACTCTTTCTTCACTGTTTGATAGTCTCATTCATCTTGCCTAAGAATCTGCTTCTGGAACCAGACAGCCTTGGCTGGATCTCAGTTCCTCCGTTTATAGGCTATGTCAGAGCATGTTACAGTTTCTGAGTGTCAGAATCTACATCTATGAAATGGGTACAATTACTATAGCTCTATCATGGTTTCAAATCTCAGCACATAATGAGTATTCAGCAGGTATTTTCTATTAATATAAGTGCAATGTTATTATACTATTATTAATTTTTGATATTATTATCCAAAGGAATGATTTTAGCATGTATCTCTAAACTTAAAAATATGTACATCTCTAGCACAAAATTACTGTTTGGTTCTACAGATGTACATCCAGATCTACAGATCTTCATATTGATCAATGGATATTTCTTGGCTATCATATAGACAGCTCAAATCAACATGTTTTCATTTCCCAGCACATGTTTTTCCCCTGCATTCTCCATGTTAGTGATTTGCAGAACCATTTAACATTATCTTGGAATCATGCTTGAATGTTCCTTGAATCTTTTCTTTCTCACCATCAGCACTTAGTCACAAACTCATAATCTTCCTGCAAAGGACACTTTTTCCCTCCATTAGTTCCAAACTTATTTGACTTTCCCTTTGTCCTGAGCAGTTTATAAATCATTGCCTTGAGCTATGTGAAACCCTGGATGACAAAGCGCTGTTTCTGGGATCCACATGGTTACCAGGGGAATGCCCAGATTTGCAAGATGACTTCCTTTGACAGGGGAAATTCTGTGCTTGTCATTGAATTCACTAAATCAAAAAGTCAGGATTTTAAATCCCAGCCCAGAGATGGATATAATCTATTAAGCCCCAAACATGTGGTTTTCCCCCATTTCATCCTGTTTATCTCAAGAAGTTCTTCACACTGAAACTCTTTGTTGTTCCTAACTATAAAATAAACACACAGGCTTTCCTTCCTTTGTTAGATCCAGTTTCTACCAGAACTGCTCACCCACTACCCGCCCCCCAATCCCCCTCCACCCCTGCTTTTCTCTTTTAATTGAGTCTTTGTCTTATTTTTATAATTTCTACTTATTTTTCTCAATCTGGCTCACCGCCTGCATTCAGTTAACCGTCCATCCACTGGGACAAGGACACCCCCCTTCTTTTAACTTGTACAACCCATGTTTATTGAGGTGCTCTTCACTTAGCAAAAATATACATATCTTAGCTATACAGCAGATCTCCCCTTCTTAAATAGAATTCTGAAATATCCTCCTGTGGTGTTTTGGTAAACTAGCTGCCTGCTTTTTCAAAGCCCTGATATATATATATATATATATATATATATATATATATATATATATATATGGCTTTTGCAGATTTTGGTGGCGTGAGTACATCTGACATTGCTAATTACAAAATGCCAAAGTTTTAATAAACACTTTTAAAAATTTCTGGTTATTTAACAAACATAGTATATGAGCAGATACTAGATGTCACTGCTTCTGATTCTGTAACAATGGTCCACTTCACTTTTTGAATCTAGCCCGCCTTGCTCTGAGGAGACAGTTTTCCTTTTTCCTCTCCTCCTTCTCCCCCTCCCTAACCTGGGGGTGGGGAACAAGATCATCTTGAGTTCTGGGTGCTCCACAGGAAGGAGAGGTTGGCCCGGAGGATCCACCAAGAGAATATCTCCCAAAGTAACAAGTGAATCCTCACATATCATCAGGGTGCCTGGGACCCCCTGTCAGGGTACACCTGGAATATAGCCTTTGAATAGCTCCTTTGAAATCCCCCTGTTCCTTCTGATGGGCAGCATCACAGCCTCTGGGACAGGAGTCCCCTGTGTTTGTCCTTTACCAGCAAAGCAATAAAACTTTTTTTTTTTTTTTCCTTTTTCTCAAAATCATGTCCTCATTATTGAATTGGCATCGGGAACAAGGACCAAGCTTTTGATTACAATACCTGTCTCCGAACCTAGTTTCTTTCTAAGGTCTTTCTAACATGGTTACCAGAATCTTTCTTTTTGCAAAAATGTCAAAGTCCTCAGGCTGTTTTGTTTCAGAGCTTCCCATCAGATCTATATATCTCCATGTGAGAGGAGATAGGAAGAATCGGGCATTCTTAAAATCTTACAAATGTGACAGTGGTCCCTTCACCTTCTGAATATAGCCCTATTGCTCTAAGGTTTATTTTTTAAAAGAACATGTTTGGTTTTGTTTTTATCCTCTCTTCTAACCTCTCCCCCTCCCCTAACAAGATTAGGGAGACAGTGTTACCCTTTCTTCCCCTAGTTAATTGACCTTGAACACACCTGCTACAGGAAGGAGGTGCCTGCTGAGGAGCTGGGAAGTGAATAACTCCCAAATTAACAAGTGAATTCTAACATGCTATTGGGGCGCCCTGGGACCCCCTATCAGAGCACATCTGGAATGTAACCTTGAAGAGTTCCTTTAAAACCCTCTGTCCCTCCTGATGGGAGAGTCACACACAATTAAAACAGCATTTATTGGTATTGGGGATAGACGGTTACACACCTTTCAGTGATTTTCACAATTAATTTCCCATTTTATATTTCTGACAAAAAAAACAAACAAAAAAAACATTTACCTAGCATTTTGTTTTTGTTTTTTTAAATTATTTGGCCTCATCTTCCTATGGTGTTCCACATCTACTGAGTTTGAGCTCTGCAGAATTTATAGAGCTAGTTTATACTTTAGAGAATTTGCCTTAGTCATTTTCCCCTGGATTAGAAAAATAATACCTATCTAGATTAATTTCTCATCATGTCCTAGCAGTGAGATAAATAATATACATTCATTTTCTCCCTTAATGTTCAAAACAACCCAAGAAAGTGGAGTGCTCCATTATTTTAGCAGACCAATTACATTATTTCCCCCAAATCAGTCAACTGGTGAGTGTTGAAGGCAGGATTCAAATCAGATGTGTCTTATTTAAAACCCTTGTTCTAGATCATTATTGAAAATGACTTCTTAATTTCATGAGATATTTTATTATTCAGCACAATTATAATATTCTTTTGAAACCCATACAAATGTCATTTCCTTAGTATCTTTTTTTTTTCTTTCATTTTTTGATACTGGGGATAGAACCCAGGGGCACTCTACCACTGAACACGACCCCAGGCCTTTTTATTTTTTATTTGACACAGGGTCTCACCAAGTTGCCAAGGCTGGCCTCAAACTTGTGATCCTCCTGCCTTAGCCTCCCCAGTTGCTATGATTATAGGCATGAGTCACTGCACCTGGTTCCATTTCCTTAATATCTTGTGAAACAAGAAAAACCTTCTACTCAGAAAAGAGGGCGAGGGCATTATTTGAATCCTCTTACCCACTGAACTGTTCACGTAGCACACTAGGAAGATGGTTTCTCAAATGCTAAAAAAACCTGATTTCCCTTTTGGCAAACTTATGCTCTGTCTAGTTCCTACCTTAATGAAACTGTGATCTCCACACACCAGTGTTAGCTTCTTGTTGATTGTTCTCAGTTGAAAGCAGAAGAGTCGAAGTTTATTCCCTTCATCACACTGGATATTGTGCCATTTCCCACTCCCCATCACGTCTATCTTTCCTGTATTATCTTGTATTTCATAGATTGTGTTCTTCTTGTTCACTTTTTTCTGTGAAAATGAAATGAACATTCAGTTTCAGAAAATACGTCATATGTTTAAGAAAACTTTTGAGACAAAGTCAATACAAAATGTAAGAAGTCGATTATAGGCATAGATCTACATGTAGCTTGGCAAGATCTTCTCAAATAAAGTTGCTTTTCTTTGCCTGTTTTCCTAATTTTTGCTTTTCTTCTTCTAGGCATTTTCTAACAATTCTAGAACAATGAATTTTCTTCCTGGTCTCTAATGCTTCCTCCTCAGGAATAGATTTGATTCCTTTTAGAAAACCTGGAATTAATGTGATCATAGGTCTAGTGAACTTCTATGGCTCCTCTGTTTATGCAGATATAAATGGACATTTGTTACTACTGTTCAACAGGGGATCTATATAACAATGAAGTTCTAGTGACTTCCTAATGCTTTTTGAAACCTTCTCCATTGACTTATTTTTTTCCAATAACATTATTCCAGGTAACCTATGTTCCTCACTTCATACTGCATAGAGTCTCACACATTAAGCTGTTATTCATCAACTTTATAATTGCATAAATAAGGATCTTCTCTTAAAAAGGGTATAATAAATAATCAATATAAAATGAAGAGGCAATATTAAAAGACAGGCATATACAGTTATAAAGCAGTTAAGTTTATAAGGTGTTAGTTGAGTTTCACAAAAGTTTGTTAATTTTTTTATCGATTGAATGCAGAATACTGATGCTCTGGATTTGAGCATTGATCTGTCAGTGAAATGTCTGTATTATTTTTTTTAGATGAGGAGATTAGATTAACTTGCCTTTCAAATATCATGCCATACAATAATTCTAAATTGTTCAATAAACTCTTCATGAATTATCGATGAAATAAGTAAAATACAACAGATATGACTGAATGATTAGATCATTGCCTATTAAATGTTTTTGCACTCAGGAGAATATAATCAATCCATTTATTCCTCTGAATGCATGTTACAAGCAGAATTCATCCTTTTTTGGGCGATCCATTCGTCAAACAAAAGGAAAGGGGAAAAAGAAGGAAGGAAGGAAACAAGTGAGGAATTATATAGTTGCAATAGAGTTCAAAGGAATAAGACTCCAAGAATATCTTTCTGTGCCATGCATTGTCCTTGCTCACTGTGACTGTGGATAGGTAATGATAACTAGGGAAATGAGACTTCTTAGTGAAACTTTTGCAAAGAATTTTCTGGGAGGAATTTTGGGAAATAGTAGGTTAAAAGGTCACCTAGTCCTATTTCCCCTTCTGTGTCTGTAGTCGGGGTAGAATCCTAGGATCCAACATTTAGCCAGTAAGCAGACATTTAATTTCAAATGTTGGTGGAGAAAAATAAAAAAGCAATTCTGAAAAAAAGAAAAAAAAAAACTTACCGTATGTAGCATAAACAACCCATACACTAATGTTCCTGGTGCTTGTTTATGAAGATGATCGATCTTGGGAGTTTCGTTTGCTCTCTTGATAACACTGTTGGGGACCTCGATCTTTTGGTCAAGACCAGCTTCAGACACAACTGATACGTCATTTACCTCCAGGATTCCTTTGCACTCAAGGTAATTAGAGATAGTAATGACCTTATTTTTTGTAAATTTCTCTTTCAGGTTGGTGTTGAAAACCTTCACTTGGAAAAACTGATTCTCAGTAGCCACTGTGGCGTGGAACATTGAACTTTTCCCCTCTTCGGCAGACTCATATTCAAATGGGTCTGTTGCTTTCAGCACCATCACGATCGTTGGGCCTTTGTGGAGGACACTTCTTCTGGAAGCCAAATGACATTGGGCCTTTTTCTGATGCTAGGTTGAACAGACACAGGGAAATAAATCTACAAGTTCAGGAGGAAATATAAAAATCACCTTTCAGTGAGAAAAATTTCAATCCCAACATTGGGCCCAGCAACTTTCATGAATAATTAGAGCTAGAGATATGTTAGAGAGGAAGGAAAGGTTAATGAATCCGTATAGTTTATCTAGAGGAAGTATGAAGCAGCTGACAGCAGGCGTGGAAGTTAAAATGCTCCCACTGAAACAGAATGATCTTTCCAAAGCAAAGCAGGACCCTCAGCATGAACAGTACAGGTGGGAGATGATGAAGACATTTTTATGAAGCACTGAACTCATAGATTGCAATATAATAAGTAACAAATTCAAGTCTATTCTTTATTTACTTAAGTGACACCCCCCAATACAAAAAAAAGAAAAAAAAGGAAAAAAGAAATTGAGTAGTGTTGAAAATGGAGAAGGATGATTATCAGGTTAACAATCTCAAAAAGTTTTTGGTTACCAGTAGAATACTCAGGGCCATTTTGAGAGTTCAAATTGTAATAGCTCTTCCCAGGAAATAATTGTCTATTACAAGTGCTGAGAAAGGCATTGGCTGGCTTGAAATCTCCTATTTTTAAATAGGCTTAGGCAGAGGTATTCTGTTCAGAGCCATATCCTTAAACCAGGTAGATAGCTTTCCTTAAAACCAGGGATAGACTCCAATCTCTTTTCTCCACAGTGGTCTGGGCTCACTGAATTTCAGCAGAGTGTTTTAACAGAGAGGAAGTTGGCTGATCTGTAAGAGAAAGTGTGTGGGGAAATAATAGGCTCTGAACTTCACAGGTGCAAGTATATAGAGATGTTAATTGTCCTTACTTACCAAAGCACTGCAAATGCTCTGCCCTGGTAGTACACTATGCACAGTATTCACCTGAGGGTGATTGGACTTGGATTTGACTTTTTATTAGTGTAACCAATTACTCTAGCACAAGGAATGCTTTTCTTTTTTTTATTTTCTCCTTAATATTTACTTCTTAGTTTTCGGCGGACACAACATCTTTGTTTGTATGTGGTGCTGAGGATCGAACCAGGGCTGCCCACATGCCAGGCGAGCGCGCTACCGCTTGAGCCACATCCCCAGCCCCACAAGGAATGCTTTTCCAAGAGCAACATTGTTAGTAGTATTGACTCAGACATAAGAAAAGCATTACTAACAACAAAATTCAAATTGACAAGAAAATTGTAGTGCATGCATAAAAGAAATGATTCAACATTCTACTGGACATAAAGGACTTCCAGTGGACACAGTACAAGCATGTCCATGAGAAGGGCACTGTGGTTGGGATAGTGGAATATCAATCTATAGAAAATTATTTTTAAGACAAATTACATTTATGCATGTCAACATTATATAGTCATTAAATAACCATTTATATTTTTATTTAAGGACTTAGAAAGGTATTCCTGATATGTTAAATGAATAAGGAAAGTAACTAAATACTAATCATGGTAGGATACTTTACTGGGAAAATTTACTATAGAGTATGAAGAAAAATATCTGATTTTTTTTTTTTTTTTTTTTTTTTGGTTCTGGGAATGGAACCCAGGGCCTTGTACAAGTGAGGCAAACGCTCTACCAACTGAGCTATATCCCCAGCTCCAAGAAAAATATCTGAAAAGACACAAAGAAAAAAGTTGGTAGGATGATAGCTAATTAAAAATTAGGTTTTGGGGTTTTTTTGCTTGACTGGTTGTAAGTAATCATGTGTTACTTGTGTAGAAAAAAAACAAGAAAGAAAGAATGTTGATGGTGTTGTGATTTTCCTTCTGTTACCCATCTTTCTTATCCAGAATCTTCAGTACATATTCTGGAAAAAAAAAATACTACCTCTCTTTAAAATAAAAGTAGATTTTTTATGTGTTATTAAACTGACACTGATTCTAAAACTTGTAAAAATGGAAAAGTCTGATTTGAAAGTGGCACAACTTAATCAGAGCATTCATTTGTAATAATGGTCATAACTGGAGAGGGGAAAAAATTGAAATGCTATCCAAGTGAGCCCCATCATTTTTTTTCCCCTGGTCTGGATAGAATCTCAGGCAGGAGTTCTCAAGGACAGGGTATCAATATTGGGATTCAGAGGGTGATTAGGTTTGGTCACCTAAGGGTTTTCCAGGTGGAGGAAATACATGGTGCGCAGAAATTCTGAACAAGATGGGAACATGGTGTGTGTTGAAGAAAATTTAACAGATTATTCAACTAAGAGAAGAGATGTGAAAGAGACTGGAAGAGGGGAAAGTGAACATACTCATGCACACACCTAAATCTTCTGGGTTTTACACCTCCCCCACCCTGAGATCAGCACAAGAGAGAAAACTTGCTTCAACAATAATTTCAAATTTGTCAAGTATCCCTGTGGGAGCAAAGGGTCAAGATGCAGTAATTTATATGGAAATATAAATTGGATATATATATGGAATATAATATATGGAATTATATATATATATATATATATAATATATAATTATATATATACGCCTTATATATATGGAATTATATATATATATATAATATATATATATATTATATATACGCCTTAGAAAGGTGTTCCTGATATGTTAAATGAATAAGGAAAGTAACTAAATACTAATCATTGTAAGATACTCTTGTGGTAGAGTAATTGCTTACATGTCATTGGTTATATGTATTTATTCCCAAGTTGAGGTTTCCATCAGAATTTTGAGGTCTGACGTCTATATTTAGGTTGGGGAAAGTGGAACAAGAAAAGTGTACCTCTGTTGAGGGAGCTCTGAATAGAGTTGATGCTGGCATCTGAGCAGGCAGAAAATGGTCCATGCTTGCGGTCACACTGGCTAGTGTAGAACAGGAAGGATGAGTCTGATCCTCAGGCTTCTTAATTGTTTTGCTTCCAGAAATCTTATTCTTTTTGGTTTCAGTCTTTTCTAAGCTTGCTTTTTTTCTTTTCTGTAAATAGTTTAATTTTCTTTCCTGTTAATGATTCTCAGCAGCAAATGAAGTAGAACACATTTTCATTATTAGGTAGTAGGTTGATTATAAATAAAAATGTTTTTGTAGGATCTGTAGAGTGCAGTCCATCCCCTGGCCAGTTGTAAGACAGGGGCATAAACATTTTCATCAAAGGGAGAAGAAAGAGTTATAAACACCATTCCTCTAGTTACCTCTGTGGTAGAATGGGACTGACTTGGAATTAGAATTTTTTTTTTTTTGTAAACATGGGCAAAGCATTTTTCTATCTGATTTTCAAGTTAACACCTCTATAAAGGGAATGAAGATATATTTATGTCATGTGGTCAATTATTATGCAGTTCGGTAACTTTAAAAACTTGATGGGAAACTAATGAATAACTGTCTGATAGACTGAATGGAAAAGCCATCGCAGTTCTTCTGGGGGACTTTGAGCACACTTACCTGAGATTCAGGGGTCTTCATTGTGTCGCTGGTGATCGATGTACATGCGACAGGATCTACCTCTTGCTTCTTTTTCACTGGGGTTTTTGGTTTTACTGGGATAGAATTAATTCTCATCACAACAAATGCATTAAAAAGGAACCCATGTAAACCCAGGGCTGATGGGGTAGAATGGCTGAAGCAGTTTCCATACTATTGGCTCTCAGTTCCTGCTGTGGGGCTAGGTAGCTTGTGTCTATCTCTACTGCATTAGCTCAACCTGGCTCAAGGAGACCAGCCATCATAACCCAGGCATCCCCTTCTGCTCCTCAAAGCTTTTTTGGCTCATCCCCTGTGCAGTGTGCTAATCCTTCCTGTCCTCTGATGTACACACACTGCAGTCAGACCTTTTCCAATCCTGTCCTCCTCCTATCTCCTTTGAAAAAGTCACAGTGTTCATGATGCTGACTGGTTGATTCTGTTTTTCATACAATACATTAAAATTATAGAAACAAGTGAAAGGAAAGAGAGTATAGATTTTTGAAGTGAGATATGGTGATTGTGAACTTTGACTTTTTCATTTTTATTTAATTAAGTAACTTTACAACACAAGAAGTTCACAAGGCTTTGGGGGTCCGTCTTCATTAAGAGTGTTGCCTTACCTTTGTTACGGGAGAGAATAATGATGATGGTATAGTATTGATAAACTGGTTCCAATAATTGGTTAATGGTTATATAAAAAATCTAAACCATGATTTTTACACTTTTGATATTTTCTAAACTTTCTCAGGTAGTATGCCCGAAGCCTCTTTCATGAACTTCTTTTAGCTTTTGTTTTTTATTTGTAACCCAAATATACATTCTCTTCTAAATTCACTCGACAGAGAATGCCCTGAGTTATCCACTGGCTGGCATCTGAAGTACCAGCGTCGCTATGGCTTCTGAGACATAAACTGGGAAAAGGGTGTACCGACTTAGACCAAAGTGGGGTTTCATTCAAGGTCAGGCAAGGTGAGCACAAGTAGGGCAGTGTCAGGGAGAAAGTGTTGGGTTTCAATTACCTTTCATCTTCTCTCTTTTGAGTTCTCCGGCAAGTTCCTCAAGCATCGGTATGTCTTTGAGCACCGATATCAGCTTGTTCAGCCCGGCATCATTTTGAAACTTGTCTTCCAACAAGTCAGCAATCTTAATTCTGTTGTACTCATCTTGCATTTTCCTAGTCAGTTTTAATTCTTTGGCCAGTAAGGACTTAACCATGCTAAAGTGATAATCACTGATGACCTCCAATCCTTTCAGGAGAACAATTTTCTTGTATTCATTCACCATTTCTCAAGTTATGGGTGAGCCTACGAGAGAAAATCAGCATAACAATGTTACACATACAAAAAGAAGTTTCAAAAATGGGATATGCCCATGTGAGTGAATGGCCAAAAGTGCGTTCATAACAAGTATAACCACCAGATATATCATTTGGGATATTGGTTGAGACTTGCTGCACTAGGGAAATCTAAAAAAGTTCTTTCCTATCAATGGGGATAGTTGAGTTGTGTCAAGAGTAGTTGTGGTGAAGGGCTATTTTGAAAAGTCAACTGTTGTAATGCTTAGAATATGGGCTGTGTAGTGTTAGACTCAGGCTCAGCTATGGAACCAGGCTAGGTGTCTGTCAACAGATGAATGGAGAAAACAAATGTGATACAGACACACAGACACACACACACACTGGAGTCTTAGGCCATAAAGAATGAGATTATGTCATTTGTTTATAAATGAATGGAATTGGAGAACATCATGCTAAGTGAAATAGGCCAGACTCAGACAGTCAGGAGTCCAATGTTTTCTTTCATATGCATAAATTAGAGAGCAAAAAGGGTCAATTTAAAAATATATCTCATGAAAATAGAGGGAAGAACAGTATAGTAGAGTAAGGGGATCAAGGGGGAGGGAAGATGGGGGAGACAGGGGAGGTACTATGGGATGAGACTGAGCAAATCATGCTGTGTGCATGTGTGAACATATAATGAGTCCATATATGTGTGTGTGTGTGTGTGTGTGTGTGTGTGTGTGTGTTATAGATGGACACAATACCTTTATTTATTTATTTATTTTTATGTGTTGCCAAGGATCGAACCCAGGGCCTTGCACATGTGAGGCAAGCGCTCTACCGCTGAGCCACAACCTCAGCCCTAAGTTCTACTTTAATGTATAATTATAATGCACCAAATTTAAAAAAAAATAAATGATGTTAGCAACTGAAAAGCTAAAACATGTTTCTGGAATTTGTTGTTGTTTTTGTTCAACACCTTCATTTTTTTATGTAAGTTTAAAGTTATTTAAAATAAGGAGAACGTGCTTGTACATTAACGTGCAGTACACACATTAAAATTAGACCAATACAGAAAAGATTAGCATGGCCCCTGCTCAAGGATGACACGCAGATTCGTGAAGTGTTCCATATTTTTGTCTCTGTGAAGCTGACTAACTCAAACAGAAGAAATTACTATAACCAGTGAAAAACAAACAAACAAAAAAAAACCAAAAAGCAAAATAAAATAAGGAGGACAAAGAGACAAAAATCAGACAAAACCAACCCCCCCCCCCCCCAAAAAAAAAGAAAAAGAAATGCATGAAATAATTTTTAATTGTGTTTTTCCCCAAATTCCATATTTGGGAACTTGTCTGAAACACGAAAAAAAAAATGTAAAACCTAAAGTTGTGAATATGTGAGCTTACTTAAAAACAGAACAAAACAACAACAACAACAAAAAAAAACACTTCAAAAACATCTGATGTAAAGTGGCAAAAGTCCATGTGTAATATTGTAAAATTCCACTTTAGTATAATAGCCACATGTCTAGCTGCAAAATATTAGTTCATATGATTTGGGAGTTGTGTCTTTTATATACTACTAGTCCTTTGGCATAAAACCCTATATATAATGTGTGTATTAAATACATTTTCTTAAGTATTCCAATTTTGGAATTTCATAGTGATCCTAAAGGTTTCAGAGAAGTGCTGCCAATCTAACTTGAAGGCAAAATAATTTTGAAACCGTAACTTTATAGGTAGCCAAAATGGAATTTTGAGTGACATTGACTAACAATGTTAACAATCAGAAGATTGGCATCACAAAAACACCTACCAAACATGCTTTTGTAATAAATATCTAAGAAAGTAACTATATGAGGAAAAAAAAAGTAGTCAAATATGCAGATGCTAGAGAAAAATAGGGGAATAAAGGGGATTTCATGAAAATAGAAGGGAGCTCAGTGGAGCAGAGGAAGGGCATTGAGAGGGAGGGAGAAGGAACAGGAGAAAGGAGGAACTAACTACAAAACACAATTGACCCAATCGTTCTATGTACATATATGAACACACCACAGTGAATTTCACCTTCATGTATTTTCTATAAAGTACCAATTCAAAAATCTATAAGTAAATAGAGGAAAGACCAGTAGAGTGGGGGCAGGGGACAGGGAGGGAGGAGTAGACGGCAAGGAAGTACTGGGGAGTGAAGTGGACCAAATTACATTCCATGTCTGTGTGATTATGTTGAAATGGACCCCGGTATCATGTATAAATATAATGCAGTAATGAAAACTTAAAAAAGTAAATGATGCAGTCTAAAAAGTCAGAGTCCAAAACTAACTTGATCAGGTCTTTCAATGTGTAAAAATAAGACTGTGAACAAAGAGAAAGGAAAGAGGAAATAAATCAAAATGGTGGATTAAAATTAGTGTGAAATGAAGGACTTGAATGCTCACTAATGTAAGGAAAATGCAGATATAAATTTTAAAATATTGACAAAAGGAGAAGGAAGCATAGAAAGAGTCTTATAATTTGAAATAATGGTGGCTGACTAGCCAAAATACATCATTTAAATTAATACACACTAAATGTTAAACCTGTGAAGAGATGAGTTTTCAAAAATTGAATTTAAAAAATCAAATCTATCTACAGATTGTAGACAAAAGTTCATTTAAAAATTCTTAAAATGTTGAAAAAAGTTTCATGATGCAAACAGTATTTTTAAAGTAAGCAGTATATCTCTTTGTGTATTAACTGACTGTAAGAACGGAAGTTTCATTAATGCTACAAGATTTAAGCCCAAGAAAAATAAAACAATTCTAATCGTGTATTTACCTAATAGTAATAAATAGATGTTATTTGTTGTCCCTATATGTTTCTTTTTATGACTATAAACAGTAATATGTAGCATATTTCTCTCTTTTTTTCACTATACATTTACATATGCAAAGTGAACAATAGAAATTTAAGCTGAGCATGATGACCTGTGTCTTTAGTCCCAGTGACTCAGAAGGCTGATTTAGGAGGATCACAGATTCAAAGACAGCCTGGGCAACTGTAGTAAGACCCCCATCTCAAAATGCAAAATAAGAAAAGGCTAGTGCTGTAGCTCAGAGTCGGTAGAGTGCATTTGGGTTCAACCAACAGTACCAATAAAATAAAATAAAATAAAAAAGACAACTATAAAAAATTGATAAATCATAATTGAAGCTTGATATTTTAGCTTATCTCTATTACTGAAAAGAGTAAAAAGTCAGAAAAAAATCAGAAAAAAATAATTAATACAGTTAAAAAATTAAATAAAGTTTTAACAAACATTTACATAATTCTGAAACCAACATTAAAAATTTCACATGAATTTCCAAAATTGTTTATATACCAGGATCTAAAAAAAGATAATGCTTTCCAAAAGTTACATATAAATTTTTTATTTAACAACTGTCTTTTGGTACATAAAATATTTAATTGCTTTCAACCACACCTCTTTCATACAAACTCTCACAACTGAAGTTCACCTCTGACTTTGAAGAAAGCAGGGAGAAGTCCAAATATGACTAAAATACTATATTTAATACCAGGATAGAGTAGAGAGATAAAGTAAAAGTTAAATATGTTTATTAATATTAAGGTAGTATGCATTGGAATAACTGGTTATGAAATGGAGGCATTTTTTACTGTTTGTTCTTATGTTTGTAAAAGTGGGATAATACCATATAATCCAACTTTATGTTGAGATGTGTTTTTCCCTTAAAATCATTTCATGATAAGTTTTCATGTCACTATTTTGTCTTTTATTCAGGCCTGAAAGGACAATGAAAGCCCTCTCTAATTATCAACTTATGCCAACAAATACTTAGAAAAATTATTTTACAATCTGTTATAATGAAAATGCACTTCGCTTTATTCAGGCCTCAGTGTTGGAGAATAAAGAGGTCTGTTACCTTTCTAAGTGAAGCATGAGAATCAACCCAGCTACTGCAGTTGTCCCTGTTCTCAGCATAACTGATCCCACCCCTACTCCCCTCACCCCACCCCACCCGGAAGAGCCCAAACTGATTTCCTCTGGTGATCTTGTGATTTGGGGGAGGTGTCCAGATGGTCTCTATAGAAAGCACCGACAGGACTCACCTCCTTGGAAGTGTCTTCAGCAATAGTCTACCTCTTGAGAGCTTCAGCAGGCGGCTGTTGTTTTGCTTGAGAAATAAGATTTCTTGAAATGTTAAGAAAATAAGATGTTTTTTTCAAAGATCACCAGGAGAAAAAGCACTGGAGAGTCACTTAATAACTTGAGCAACACTGGGTGTCTCACACTGCACTCACAGCCCGGGACAGAGGAGATGAAGCACAACAAGGCTCCTCCTATCAATGCTCATAGCTTTCGATTTCCTCAGTCAGAGAAACTGAACTGTGTCCTTCCTGTAACAGCTTAGTAACCACAGAGAGCCAGAGCTCAGCTATGTTTATTTAAAAAAAAAAAAAGAAAGAAAGAAAGAAGGAAAACAAATATTTATAGTTGAAAGAATAGAGACATTTGAACTTTCTGGTTTAGCAGACTAACACATGGGACAGGAGGCACAAAGTTCACTTAAATGAAGCTCAAATACCAAAGGGGACATGAATGACCCAGTCACTTCTCCCTCTTCTCCTGCTCCCTGAATGACAGTAGCAGCAAGAGATCTTGATAGAGGTGTCTCTTGCTCTTATAGATGTGCCAAAAAAGAACAGAAGGGAAGGGAAGAAAGGATGGGATGTCACTTACCCTGCTAGGCAGTCACTAGACAATTAGTGATTTTTATCATCCTTAAGTTACAATATGTTTATCAGGTCCTTAATCACTCCTAGGTGGTCAGTGCTGTTCCAAAATTTGCAAGGCTTCATTGTTAAAATGATCTAAGCCATTTATTCACGGTTTAGAAACAAAAGAACTCCTAATATTAGACAAAATGTCAGAAAGAACCTGCATGATCCCCATCCTCCAAAGTACTTTTCCAGAAGGTCACTCAAAGTCCCGGAAGAAGAGCTCCCACCAGGTTGAAACCATAATCCAGAAAATGCCAAGATTCTTCTAAGAGAGGATCTAGATCTAAGACAACAATTGCACAAGCAGAGCAATTGTAATGTCACAGAAAAAAAAATGGGAGGGGAAATCTTGGGGGTGTAGTTGAACCAGACTCTTCCGCCTGCTCTTTCTAAGGCCCAGAACAAAATCTGTTAGTGTGTGAGCCTGAACTGCCCAAGGTGATGTAGGCATTCACTGTTACCTTTCATAAAAATCAACTTTGAGACATATTTATTTTCTTCGTATTTTTTGTCAGATATTCTATGTGTAGAATTTTTCCTAGCTTTATTTAAAAATACTATTGTTGTTTACTTAGCTCTCTTTATTTTAACATTATAAGATGTAAATTTACATCACTTGTATTACTGTTCTCTTTTTTTAGTATAGACACTTAGCAATTTTTCTTATTGGCACTGCTTTTTCCTATGCTCCCTAAGTTTTGTGGGATGTGTATTTATTTCCCTTAATATTCTTTGGCATGTATTTTTTTTAACTTACAGCTGATTTTAAAGTGTATTATATAATTTCAAGATATACGAGAATTTTCTAAATATTTGTCTTAACTTCTTAATCGGTCTTATAATTATGCAATCAATGCTAAAATCACAAATATGGACTTTAATGAAATTCACTGTAGTTCCCTACACACATTTCACTTTGATGTGCAGCTTATTAATTAATTAATTTATTTATTTTTGATACCAGGTATTGATCCCAGGGGTGCTTAACCACTGGGCCACCCCGCAGACCTTTTTTATATTTTATTTAGGGACAGGATCTGTCTGGGCTGCTTATGGCCTCACTAAATTGCTGAGGCTGGCTTTGAAATCTTGATTCCTCTGCCTCAGCCTAGGCCTCCCAAATTGCTGGGATTGCAGGCGTGCACTACTGCACCCAGTATCCCACCTATTTTTATAGTGTTTTTCAAATGATAAGCAGGTCATCTATTTTGAAGATGGTGTAAAGATTTTTCAGTCTTCTTTCTTCTTATTCCATCTATCAGTATTGAGTTACAGGTTTTAAATATCTTAACTATGATTATTGATTTGTGTTCTACTCCATTTGATGTTGTTTGGTTTTGCTTTGTAATTGGGAAGTCCCGTCATTAGGTGCTTTTATGAATTGTTAGGACTTGGCAACAAATTCACTGAGGCATTTCCTTTTGGCATCGGTCTAAATCTAACTATTCTCTGACTCATGTCAGGACTTGAAAGGAGGCCTTGTTAAGGAGGATTTGAATAAATCCAAAGTTTTCTTAAACTCACTTATTTGCAGGACTCCAGCTCTGACTCATGGTGGAGGCGGGTTTTAGGCTTTGCTTTCATGATAGTCTCTACTTAGCTGCTTGGCCCTACTTCTACCATGTACTCTGGGGCATGCCACTGGACAACAGGGGCTGTGTGTGTGTGTGCATTTGCTCTCTTGTTCCTGTGTTGTCTTCTCAACCCCACAGCAGCTGCTCCCTGGTGGGCCTCATGTTATTTCCCTCACATATGAACAACCCAATGTGTGGTGAGTGGGCCACCCCGGCCTAGTTCCTTTCTGTCCAGGTATCCGCACAGTGGAGCTCTGTATATGTTCATGTATGTATTCCAAGTTTAAGAGAAAGAGGGCTAATTTGATCCAGTGACATTTTTCTGTGACTTTCTTTCTTCTTTTTTTTTTTGTTGATACTGGGAATTGAATTCTACTGGGGTAGCACTATACCACTGAGCCACACCCCAACCCTTTATTTATTTATTTATTTGTTTGTTTGTTTATTTATTAGTTGTAGATGGACACAATATCTTTATTCATTTTTATGTGGTGCTGAGGATTGAACCCAGTGCCTTGCATGTGAGGCAAGTGCTCTACCACTGAGCTATAACCCCAACCCTATCCCAAGCCCATTTTAAAATTTTTTGAGATAGGGTCTCACTAAATTGCAGAGACTGGCTTTGAAAGTGTGTTCCTCTGCCTCAGCTTCCTGAGTGGCTAGGATTACAGGTTTGGCCAGTGCACTTGGCTCTCTTATGAGATTGTTAATAACATTCATCAAAAGGTAAATGTGAAGGAATGACCAAAGGCAGAAAGTCTATCCAGGAAATAAAAGCAAAAACTCTTCCAAACCCGGGGAAAGATAAGTATCCAGATACAGGAAGTCAAAGATCACCAAACAGATTCAATCCAAACCTTACTACCCCTCAGCATATTATGATCAAATGTTACAAATGGACAAGGAGAGGATTCTAAAGCAAGAAAGTAGAAGCAAATAACATATAAAAGGCAGAGCACACTGGTGCACACCTGTAATCCCAGCAGTTTGGGAGGCTAAGACAGGAGGTCCGTGAGTTCAAAGCCAGCCTCAGCAACTTAGTGAGGCCCTCCCTGTCTCTAAATAAAATACGAAAAAAGGGCTGGGGATATGGCTCAGTGGTTGAGTGCCCCTGAATTCAATCCCCTGTACCAATACATAAATAAATAAATAGATAAGTAACATATAAAAGTTGTTCAATATACCTGGTGTCAAAACTTCTCAGCTGAGATCTTGCAGTCTGGGAAACAGGGGATGATATATTCAGAATATTAATGGGGAAAATGCCACAAATACAGTCCTCATCAAAAACTGTTTATGTTTTTAAGTTGCATTTGCTTTTAAGTTATTCTCTTGTTTTAAGAACTGTCTCTATCATTAGGCTCTTTGAGAGGACATTTCTTCTGGAAGCATCTCAGCATTGAGAAGTATGTACTGAACGGCCACTGGAAAGAAGTGGTAGAAAGTGTAGGCAGGGTTCTCCTATTCCCCAAACTTATAGCTGGGAAGAAAAAAGATAAATAAATCACCCATTAACCATAGTGTTGTAAGTGGTAGCAAACAAAAGCACATAGTCCTTCAGAAGTACGTCTGCTAGCCTGCGAGGAGATGTAGAGCAAGGTTCCTAGGAGGACATATGAGCTCTGGGACACAGAGGATGCAGGGCTGACCAAGTTAGGAGGCACCCAGTTAGAGTATGTACGAGGAAAACCTCCAAGAAAAAGGAAACATGATGTGTTTGAAGAAATTTTAACAGATAAATAAACAAGTGGGAATAAATAGAAAAGAGACACAGCAACAAAGAATGCAAACACTGTTTATTCTTATATATGCTTCATAATTTCCTCTTCCTCCAGAACAACATGAGGTAGAACATTTTAGTGGTCAGAAATAATGTTAAATTGATAAACATTATGGATGTATGTCTGTATCTTTGTGGACGTAAGAGGTTCATTGTAGTGCATGACCAATATATTCATCTGAACTAATAATTTTTGGAGTTATGCTTAGGTATACCAGACATTATGTTATTTTAACGTTTGAGCCCTATTTGGTGTGTTCAATAAAAATGGATGGGAAAAAAAATAGAAAACAAGAGAAAGGACACTAATTAAAAGAAAATTCCCTTGTGATCTTGCGGTTACAAATGGTGTACCCGCATCTTCCTCTACAGAAATCTCACTTTACTGAAAGCTCTTTCACAGCAGTCTAGTCTTTGAGACATCTTTTTTTTTTAAAAGAAATAAAAGGAATATCTGATAGAAATCTAAATCAGTCAAACTAAAGTCTGAATTGTAGGACGTTAGAATCTCATGTAAGGCTAATAATGAAGTATTTTGAAAGAGAATCATGAAAAATGGTATTGATTTGGATCACTTAGAAACTTGACTGAGGTTGGCTTCTTCATACTGTGAACCTGGTCTCTAGGAAACAGTGCTGAGGCTCCTCCCCTCAATGTTCTTAGCCTTTTGTCAGAGATACTGAACTTTGACTTTCCTGTAAGTAATTTAGCACAATTGAAACAGTGATAGCAGGATTGTTATCTTTTTCGTTATAGCATGTCCATAAATGAATGAAGGTCTGATATTAGGACTTTATCAATCCAGGAGGCTTAAGTGTCCCTTCATTGAAGAGAAAACATCCAAATGGAAAGGCAAGTCACCGGCCATTTCTTTCTCTTTCTTGTTTACAGAGTGTCAGTGGCCTGAAGAGAGGTTTCTATTTCTACCTGTACTTAAACTTATAGACAGCATTTCAAGATGTCAGGACTCCAGGATGGGGGAAGTCTGCTATGAAACTGCTTTTGGTTTAAATACTAAATGTCATCCATCCTATTGACACACTGAGGCTTGACATACCTAGAAGGTCATTATGAATATGTAAATCCTTACTCAAACCAATCAAGTTTGGCACTACTTGTCCTTATGATGACTCACATTTTCTGCATTATTTATAAATAATCTCATGTGGATAGTAAGCTCATGTTACCATGGGAGTTTGGAAATTATAAAGAACAGAGAACTTCTAGAGGGTAGGAGGCCTGATAAATTATTTGCATTACAAGGTTTTCTCTGTGAGGTATAGTGATGCTCTCTGAAGTTCTGTAACCCTTAAGTGACAAGTAAAAGGCACCAGGCAGTGGAGAGTGTTGTGGTAACCTACCAGCTAATCAGCAAGCGGAGTGAGGTCATGACAGGAAAAGAGGCTCCAAAGATAGCTAATATAGGCGAATGATCCAAGGCCATCTACGAGGAAGAAGTTGGTTGTCTTCCTCTAAACCAGCAGCGCAGAGGAGAGAGTCAAAATTTGGATTTGGAAATTGAATTTATACCTATTCTCTGAATAACTTCACCAAAGCAGGTGTACATCAGAAAAGAAGCAACAAGGATTTATTCGGAGTGACTGGGACAAACACCTACATGTATTCATGTATTCCATGTTTTTCTTTTTTTAAATACAGTTTCGTTTCCTGTTTGTGTGGTTGAATGGGTTGAGCTGGTTATAGAGGAAAAGGAAAAGAATGACATAAGCAAAGTTCATAGAGGGTCCCAATTCAGTGTCTAGGGACTAATGGTGCCTATGGCAGAAATTACTCTGATTCAGAAAATGGTTTTCCCTGTTATATTTCAGAAGCCATCTTAATGTGGTGAGATGCTTTGGTGATTTCCCAGTAGATGATGTATGAACTTTCTTGCCCAAATAAAGACCATTCACAGCAATGCTTTCATTGAA